TCGAGTTTTTCGAATTTTTTCAACATCTGAACTTCGCGTTCCAGACAACGATCATCCAAACTGTATTTAAGTGCTACCCGTACATTATCTGGAGTGTATGCTTCGAAAACAACAGAACTGGACCCAGTACCCAAAATTCGATATGCTTCAACTTCGCCAATACCTGTCGACACGATCGGGAGGCCGAATTGAGAGCGTTTTGCTGCCCATTGCAGAATCACATTGTATAACCCTTTATTTATGTTCAAATGTCGATGAGTGAATGAGGTAGATGTTGTATTAGGAGAATCGACGTTTGCAATGTCTTTGTCGGGAAAAAAGCTTTCCAGCTCTTGTGGAGAAGCACTAGCACGGAGTCTGCCAATGTTAGCTTGGGCGAAAGTCTTGAAGACACGTCCGACAATCAGCAGCGTTTCCTTCTTCTCCCACTTGATGCTATCCGTCAACCACCCCTTATATCACGCAATTCCTTGTCCCAGTGTGAATACCAAAGTGCATAGTTGGAACCGTCAGTAATGATTGAGACATATTTACGTTCCCTATTCTCGCTCGCGCCGAAGAAATTCTTGCAGTATCTGTGACATTGAACCATTGCTTCGTTTAGGGTGTACTCTGACAATTTTAATTTGTCTTCAAATGCATAGCATCTCGTCCAATCAATTGTTTTGTTGTGTTTGGTGTATAAATCCTTACTAGACGGGTTTGTGAGGTAATGATCTGCATAGTTGGTACCACTACGACCACCCGAATGTTTATCCTGGATAATGGCAAGGTTCCATATTCTCGCCAAAGATTCGTAAACCGTCTGAACCCAAGGGTGCACATCCTTGATTTCATCATCCCAATCGTTCTTACGGTTTGGTGGCGTCTTATTAAGGTGGGCATATTTTGCTTCAATGGTGTGCGTTTCATCGGGTGTGAGCTCATCCAAAAAGTCATAATTTTCGAGAGTTAGATAGAGTGGATGTTTCTTGATGGCAGAGCCCCACACAGAAGACGAACGCGAGGGTGAGAGGTCCATAAAACGAGAAACTTGAAATACAAAAGGGACAATAGATTAGGTTATGTGATTCAACAGTGA